CCTAAAACAAAAAAAATTTAAAAAAAATTCTTTTACGTGCACATGCCACTTTTTCACATGGCCAGCCCTATAACAGCCCTTCTGTTTGGGTTGTGTTTTCCAGACTAAGAAAGCCATTGGCCTGTTTTGGAAGGCAGGTCCTTGCCCAAAATCTGTCCTTAAGAATAGCAGCTATTGTGGTATTACAGCTGTGTCCCCAGCATGAGTACCCAGGTAGCAATGGCTCCCCTCATCCCCTGCTAAGCAGAGACTTCTCTTTTCTCTTCAGGTACTGTCCCAATTGTAAGAAGCACCAGCAGGCCACAAAGAAGTTTGACCTGTGGTCCTTGCCCAAGATCCTGGTAGTCCATCTCAAACGTTTCTCCTACAACAGATACTGGAGGGATAAGCTTGATACAGTTGTGGAATTCCCAGTCAGGTGAATCCCTATGACTGAAGTGTTAGGAAAAAATTTAGAAACAGGCAGGAAATATGGACATTGATTTGCTGAGAGGTTTGTTACCAAAGACTTTTCTGAATTAGGATGTATGTTGTTGGGCTTTGGGAGGTAGACTTTGATTGTAGTAATTGCTCCCCTCCCTATCCTCCCATGGGGAAGAGACTCCAGTAGAAGCCCTTCCCTAGACTCAGGGGGCTGCTAATTCTCTGTTATTCTTGGTCCCCCTCTCAAATCCCTGATGCCACTTAACTGGCCTTTCCCAGTCCATCATTGGTCCCAAGGAGCCTGGCCTCAGCAGTGGCAGTACAGCACAGTGGTACCTCTATTAACAGGGGCAAGGTGGTCAGAGGGCAATCTGCAGAGAGACCTGGATGATTGTTGGGGCTTCAGGTAGGGTGCAGACCTGCTACAGTCCTGTTTCTGAGGTAGCAGCTGGGACTAACTATCTTCTCAGGTCCCCTCAGGACCCAGGTTATTGACTGTAACTAAGACAGGAAAGCAAGCCAACCAGATAGGTTAAAAATGCTTTCTGGAGGGAAAGGGTAGGGTAGGTCCTTAAAATATAGGAACAATGTCCATGTGAGAATCTAGTGGTGGGTAATGAGTATTTGTTGTAAAATTCTTATCTTTACTTGAAAATTTCAGAATGAAGTGTTTTAAGTCCATGCATGGTAAACACATGCCTGTAGTCCCAGCTTCTCAGGAGACTGAGGTGGGAGGATTATTTGAGCCTAGGAGTTAGACCAGCGTGGGCAACATAGCAAGACCCTATCTGAAAAACAGAATAAGATGTTGTAGGAAAAAAGCTTTCTGAGGACTGTTTTGGTATTTGGTTTAAATGACTATGGCACCAATTGTAATTCTGTTATTAATAACCACTTCTTCCTAGTTGCTGAAGTCCTCTTGTCTATCTCCAAACCCTCACCTTCCATTTGGTCTGGTGGCAGTTACCCAGGAGGCTTCTCTTAATTTCTGGCCTGAATATGTCAGTGGTCAGAGCACAAAGTCCAGGGCTCCTCTGCCATAGTCTTTTCATTTATTTCTTCTCTCTTTCTCTCTCTCTCTTTTTTTGGGGGGGTTGGGTGGGCTGGGGGAGGGGTTCCGGGAATTGAACTAAGGGCACTCAACCACTGAGCTACATCCGCAGTACTGTTTTTGTATTATATTTAAAGACAGGGTCTCACTGAGTTTCTTAGTGCCTCACTGTTGCTGAGGCTGACTTTGAACTCTTCAGCCTCCTGAGTCCCCTGGGGTTACAGGCATGCAGTACCACGCCTGGCTATTTCTTGTCAAACAGTTTTTTTGAGTGCCTGTCTTATGTTCTGGCCAGTTAGATGAAAGAGGTTGCTGGGCTGCTCTGACTTCTTTTTCGGAGTTTAAAATATTTAAGAGCTATTCTTGTGTTTTGTTCTTAGAGCTCTGAACATGTCTGAGTTTGTCTGTGACTTGTCAGCAAGGCCTTACGTGTATGACCTCATTGCTGTGTCCAATCACTATGGAGCCATGGGGGTTGGCCACTGTAAGTATTGGTAGCTGCTTTCTTCTGAGGTGTTGGCTTGTGCAGTTCTGCAAGCTTTATGCTACATGCTTTTTCAACACCATTGCTTCACCATGCTTTTTGTTTTGTTTTAAAATTCTTAATTTTTTTTTTTTAATATTTATTTTTTAGTTATCGGCGGACACAACATCTTTGTATGTGGTGCTGAGGTTTGAACCCGGGCCACATGCGTGCCAGGCGAGCGCGCTACCGCTTGAGCAACATCCCCAGCCCAAATTCTTAATTCTTTAATTCAGTAACTCTTGTTTCTGGGAATTTATCCTAAGGAACTGATTTGACATTAGAGAAAGCTTTACACCCAAAGATGTTCATCTCTTTATAACAGTGAAAAGTTAATAGCTGCCTTGGTGATCAACAGTTGGCACTGTTGTCCACTCATAGCCATTTCAAAATAAAATTAATAGCATGGGGGAAATGGACTGTGTACATGAAAACTGCTACATAAAATTATATCATTACAAAAGGTGGAATCACAACTATGTGAAGTTAAAAAACAAAATGTTGTTGGGGGTTGAGACTGGAAGGAGAGACACTGAATTGTTTATCCCCCCTCCTTTTTTTTTGCTTTATTTTATGTCTCAAAAAATTTTTTAAAAATATTTTTTAGTTGCTGATGGACCTGTATTTTATTTATTTGTATGTGTTGCTGAGAATCTATCCCAGTGACTCACGCATGCCAGGCAAGCATGCTACCACTGAGCCACACCCCAGCCCTATGTCTCAAAATTTCTATAACATGTAGGTTTAGTTTTAAAATTAAACTTATGTTTTCTTACTTGTTTATGGGAAGTGCTACTGAAATAGAAGTGAAGAATTGGATTTCCTTACATTTCTGTCTACTACATGTGCATTGGGCCTGCTGCCAACACACCCAGTATTAGGTCCCCAAGACGTGATTCCTTGGAAAGGGTCAGTTCCATTTATACTTATACTAGATTACAGAACTGCCCTGATCTTTTAAATTTTCTCCCTGTACTAATAAGATATAGAAATTGGCCTGAAAGTCTGCTCTTTCATCTCAGTAGTAGTAGTAGTAGTAATACTGGAGATTGTACCCAGAAATACTTTACCCACTGAGTTATATCCCCTATCCTTTTTGTTCTGTTTTGAAGGAGGGTCTTACTAACTTGCTGAGGCAGGCCTGAAACTTGAAATCCTTCTGCCTTAGTCTCACAAATAGCTGGGATTATAGCATGTGCCACTGCTCCTAGCCTGGCCCTCCATTCTTACCATATCACCTTCTAGCTTCAAATGCCTGCTCAGTCTCCAGCCCTCATGTTTGCATTCTATTCCATCAGAAGGGGGGGTGGGGAGGAAAGGCAGATATCCCAGAACCCCCATCAACTCTTCTACATACATTTCATTGAGTATAACTGAGCCATACAGCTTCATATAGTGTAGGAGAGGCTGGGAAAATAAAATTTCGCATGTTTGAAAATCGGGCCCTGTCAGTAATTTTTAAACTTTATTTTATTAGTTTACTTTTTTATGTGATGCTGAGGATTAAACCCTGTGCCTCACACGTGCTAGGCAAGCACTTTACCACTTGAACCACAACCCCAGCTCCATCCATTAGTAATTTTTGATCATGTTATATATCCTGCTGTTCTATAACTTGCTATTTTTCCTTACAATTATTTTTGACATCTGCTTAAGTTTCTCTGTTCAAATGTATTCATTTTTAATGCTATTTAAAAAAACAAAAGACACAAACTGTAAACTATTTTTAATTTCAGGGCTATTTATTTATTTAGTGCAAGCCTAGTAAACTAGCCAGTTGACTCTTTAGTATTTTGTTTATTACTTGACAGACACTGCATATGCAAAAAACAAACTAAATGGGAAATGGTATTACTTTGATGATAGCAACGTGTCCCTGGCCTCTGAGGACCAAATTGTGGTGAGTATGCTGACTGGATTGATTCTGTCTCTGGACTTAATGGATTAAAGCTGAGAAGGGTAGCTCTCAGGCTTGTTGGTTACCTAATCATTCTCATGTGACAGGGGGAGCTGGATGTGGTAGAGTTGACCTGCCCTTTGTTTAGGATCCTTTCTAAAGGAAAAGCTCAACTTTCCTCAAGGCTCTATGCCATAGGGTACCCACCATTCCCCACTGGCCTGGCAGGAGCCAGCCTCAGGTAATAGTCCCTTCTTAGTCATCTCTGTATGGATATCCAGAGCAAGATGGTTGATCTTTGAGAGTGTTGAATAGTGAGAAATAACCTGGGGCAATGGGTAATTTTACCAACCAGTAGATGGATTCTCCCCTCTTGTGTTTCAGACAAAAGCCGCTTATGTGCTGTTCTACCAGCGACGGGATGATGAGTGTTATAAGACACCTTCACTCATCAATTTTCCTGGTTCTTCTGATGGAGGGACCAGGCCAAGCAGCTCACAGCAAGGTTTGGGGGATGATGAGGCTTGCAGCATGGATACCAACTGATGCTGACTCAGCGACCCTGCCTCCCCACAGAACCCAGCATCCCCCAGGAGAATGTCTTTGGCACTTGGAAAACTGCTTGTGTTCAATTTAAAAAGCCAGATGAGGAAATTCCCTTCTTTTTTGAGCAGAAGACAAAAAAAGACCCTGTTTGCTCAGAAGGATTCCTCAAGAGCCTGAATTATTTTTCTTTTTAAACAGGTGGTGAGATAAAGCCTGTGGAACTGAAAGTGGGGGGTGGGTGGGGGTGCACAATGGAGTATGTCTGATGGATTTCAAAGAATGGAGACAAACACACTGTAATTGAATATGGTGCAGCCATGAAGACCCACTTGCAGGGCTGCTGTGAGCTCCTGGATATCTAGTTCTGGTACCCATACTGGTCACCCCAGTAGTCTGGCCACAGTAAACCGAGCCTCAAGTAAACTTGATGTTGTCCATTTGTCCTTTGCTGTTCCCTGAGATGGGTTTATAATTTTCTAAAATTAGCACTGAAGCCCATTTGTTTCTCCTTTGAGTCGTTTTGGAATTTCCAGCTTTCCTTCTGATAATCAAATGAAAATACTTAGTATTGAGGTCTCTCAACCTCCTGTGGAACCTAACAGTTATGTTTTGTCCCCCACTATCTTTGATGAATTGAGACAGATTCTGTGTGGAACTTTGATCAGACACCCCTTAAAGAAGTCTATTCACAAAACTGCCCAGTACAGTATCCAGTTGTTTGTCTATGTTGACTTGAGAACAGAACCTTCATGGGAATTTGTTAAGCCTGGAAAAGGGCTCTCATTCAGTGGTTTTGGGTAATGCATTTTCATAATAGGCCTTTCCAGACCTGGTTTCTCCCTGACCCTGCTGGAAACCCCACAACTGGCCGCTTGCCCCCATTCTGGTGCCCTACATTATCCTGCCTCCCTCTGTATACCAGGCCTTTGCTGCTCTTGCTGGCCACGAAGGTTTAAAGAACATTGTAGTCCGGGCTTTTTTGTCTGACCTTTAACCTAATCTGTGGGGGTTGGTACCGCCCGCTTCGGGCACGCGCGGGTCGGGCTCGCGCGGTCCAGCTCGCGCAGTGACCGTTGAGGGCTGTGGTGTTTCCGCGCTGCTCGGTGAGGATAGGGCTGGAGCTTCTGAGTCCCATGGCCTGTTGGAGCAGGGGCAGGGCAAACGGGTGGGCTATTGTAGCATAGACTTGGGGGAGAAGTGTGGGAGGCTGGGGAAAGTGTGACAGAGCCATGGCAGGAGGGAGGAGGAGCAGGTGGGGGTCTTCCCACTCAGTCCTGCCTGGGATAACCCCAAGGAAGGTGTGGCAAGTTCCCCTTTCAGGCTGATTGGCAGCCTCCTCTGTACCCTCATTCTCATGTTACTCTGTGCATTTCCAATGTATTACATAATAAAGACATGGTCCCTTTTAGGGAAAATGTCTGAAAAACTAAGAAGATGCAGAAAGGAGCTGACCGCAGCCATTGACCGGGCCTTTGAAGGAGTCAGTCATTCCCAGGAGTGCACAGGCCTGCAGAAGCTAGAGCCAGGTGCCACATCGCTTTCCTTCTCCCTACCTATGCACAGGCTTCTCTGTAGAGGACACCCTCTGGCAGCCTGCTCCTCTACTGCCCTGTTTGCTGCTGCCCCTTGTGCTTCTGAGAAGGAGAACCCTGCCTTTGTGCCATACCATGTCCCTGTTAATGCAAAACCACATGCTTTATGCCCCAAAAGAAAACCTCTGGCCAGCAAGGAAAATGTGTTGATGCACCCCTCCATTTTGGCACCTGAAAGACCGTTTTGGAGAGCTGCAGGAGATGGGGAAAACTGGAGAAAAGAAAGTTTAAGGTGATTCTGATTTGATAGTTTAATAATTACAATTAAGAAGATTCTTGTTTCTGAAAAAATTGTTGAAGATCCTAGAGTCAATTCATGCCTCCTCTTCGGATCTGCAGGACTGTTTGGGAAGCTCACAAAATATTCTCTAGAATTTAGCCCAGAAAACAAGTTATATGTGTATGTGTTTGGGTTGAGGGCCTGGGTTGTCAATTCTGGATGTTAAACCAGTCATGGAAACGACTTTGCAGTACTCAAAGGAGTAATGAATGTTAAAATTTTTTTAAATGACCTCATTTTTTTTATGCTGCAGAAACAAAAATCTTAATCCTAAATTTTTTTTTTTAATTCCATCTTGTGTTTGAACTTGGGGTACTGGAACCTTTGATACCTTCCTTTGTCTACATTAGGGAGAAGTTGAATCAAAGGCCCTACTGGGCCCTACTTCCTAGTATTGTCCTTGCTTCTGCTCCCCTCCACTACCCTGAAGTCTTTGAACTGTCACCAGGTTAAGTCTCCCCTAGATCTCTCAAACTGCCTGGTCCCAAGCACCTTGACTTTGAGCAGGGCTAACCATATATGCTGGGTTCAGTGGCATAAACCTGTAATCCCAGCAAGTTGGAAGGCTGAGGCAGGAAAATTGTACAAATTCAAGGCCAGCCTGGACAATTTAGCAAGATACTGTTTCAAAAAATTCAAAAGACTGGCAATGTTGCTCAGTGGTAGCACACCCCTGGGATCAGTACCCAGTACTGAAAGGGTGGAAAAAAAGTCCTGCCATCTTGGCTGCCCAGTGGAATAAAAGCTAAACTCCTCAAGTATTTATATTGATGTTCATAAGCATTAATGCAGCCTGTGATGCTTATGAGTCATTATGATAATGCTATTAGTCAATTTCTTCACTGATTAACAGATTGATTACTCTGTAATCACAGCATAAATGACAATTTAAAGTCAACAGTAATCTAACATTTTCCCCTCCAATATTTTCTTGAAAGAGGATCTAATTCCCCACCTTTCCCCCCCCCCTCCTGGGGCTACAGGAAAGATATGGAGAGAGATTTGAAAGTTGACTCAAACATGCCTCTCAACAATTCTAGCCAAGAAGTCACAAAGGATCTGCTGGATATGATTGGTGAGTACAGAGGGTTGGGCCATCGTCTTCTTGGGAGAATAGGTCCTTTATGCAGGCAGAGGGCCCATATGTCTTAGAGGGGGTTGGGTGATAAGAACTCTTTTTATTTTCCATATTTGGTGGATTTGTTCTACTCACAATAGACTCTGCATAGAGCAGCAAATTAGTCAAACTCTGTCCCTTTCTTCACAGAACTGATAACCTAGTGAGGTCACGCATCAATCAGGTCATTTCATAAATGTCTAATTATAGTGAGTCCCCGAAGGCAAAGGATGCCAGCCTCCATGACTTGGTCCTTGAGCTTAGATCCGAAGTAAACAGGACATAGGCAAAGAGGAAGAGAGAGGGGCTGGGGATGTGGCTCAGTGGTAGAGCACTTGCTTGGCACATGTAAGATACTGGGTTTGTCCCCAGCACCACATAAAAATAAATAAATGAAAATAAAGGTATTGTGTCCATTTACAACTAAAAATTTAAAGAAAGAGGAGGAGGAAGAGAGAGGAGTCCAGCTGAGTAAAAAAAGAACATTTGATGCCAAAAGCTCTCCTGTACTTCCCCCCACCCAGAGGGAGTCACTGTTAACATAATAGTATACAGTTTGTCAGACACTGGGTATTGAAACCAAGAGTACTTTACCACTGAGCTATGTCCCCGGTCCTTTTATTTTTTAATTTTGAGACAGGGTCTCTACATTGCCAAGGAAGGATCTCACTGAATTTCTGAGACTGATTTTGACCTTTGCCATACTTCTTCTTCAACCTCTTTTGAGTTGCTGGGATTATAGACATGTGCCACTGTGCCTGGCTGTATGACTTTTTAAATGATTCATATTACACAGTGGACAAATAGTTCTAGTTAAGGGGTGTATAGTCTTGAGTGCTGCTTGAAGCTGGTCTCCAGGTTATGAAGGATGGGAGGAAAGCCTGACAGAGGGGTGGTACTCAAATTAGGCTATAAAACCTCTGCCAGCCTATGACTTAGTGGACTAGTCTCCTACAGTAGCCCCAGGAGATAACTGAAATTATCACTGCCTCTGCCCGCCATCTCCTTGGCCCTCACCAGCAGCAGGCAGCATTTTGATTCCCCTGAAGACCTTTTTTGTTTCACACCATGTGTTTTCATCTGAATTAGGGAGTTCCCTGAGAGCCAAGACAAGTGTGTGCATTTCTGTGTCTTTCCACTTATAACTTAGGAACTGGCAGATAGTTGGGGATGGATAAACATTTGTGTCTGAAAGGAATACACCAAGCCCACCTTACTTTGGCATTCAGTCTGGCAACCTGTCTGCCCTGGGGTAAGAATGCCCAGCTCTGCCCAATCTCTCACACTTGTGGTTTTTAACTGGTACCTGAAATGTCTTTAGAAACCTCTCCTTGGAATTGTAAAGCTGAGTGTTCTTATCTTTAAGACCATACAAGCATCCGAACTATTGAAGAATTGGCTGGAAAACTAGAATTTGAAAATGAATTAAACTGTGTGTGTGGTCACTGCCAAGATTCACCCTTCAAGGAGGAAGCCTGGGCCCTGCTTGTGGACGAGAGCCCTCAGAAGTCCTCAGATGTAGACACTGGCAGCCTTAAGCAGGCTTTCGATGATCAGAATATTATCGAGACTGTTCTGGATTTGGAAGAGGACTACAACTTGATGACCTCTTTTAAATACCAAATTGAGTAAGGAGAGTTGCTTTTAGCTTTGATTCTTTACAGTAGAGGCTGCCATCAGGTACTCTATGCAGAAGCAGCCACAGTGATCATCAGGAGCTGCATTTTCAGAGGGCCGGCAGAAGCTGAATTACCACACCCTTTTTTTAACTTCAGTTGTGTCGCTTTTTGGGCTGAGAGCCCAGTTTTTGTATTCTGTTGCTTTGAGATATTTCATATTGTTATATATATATTTTTTTTACTCAGTGTTTTGTTTTTGATTAATACTCAGTATACCTAGTCCTAAAGGTAGGTATGGGTTGTAACTCTGTTGCATCTCTTGGTATTCTTTTGCCTGGGCCCTTGAAAAAGTATGGGAGCTATAACCAGAATGGGCTTTGTGCAACCCCTGGTACCAGCCCACCCCTAGACCAGCTCAGCCTATGCAGAAAAATCCACAACAAGCTAGACTTTGGTGTGGATGCTCTGATCCCCTTACATATTTGGCTCCCCTTGCACACATAGCTCCCTGTTTCTTACATATGCCCCATGGCCTCTTCATGTCCCAAACTACCTGCTCAGTTCAGAGAGTAGCCTCTGCAGAGGTTTCTTTCTGGCGTCAGAGTTGCTGGCAGATTCCCTCCTAACAGGACGTTCCCATGAGGCCTCCCTACCATGTACCCCCACACAGACACCTTGGCCCCAGATGAGGGTAGGAGGAGAGGGATAGATACAGGATCTGTACCTACATCTCATCCATCCATCCCTCTGCAGGTCTGGCTGCCATGGGTGGATTCCATGGCAGTGACCCTGCTGGGCCAAGACAGGGCAGTGAATGAAGGAGGGGCCAGGCTCCTGCACTCCCGAGGTCAGCCTAACAGCAAAAGCATAGCAGGGCTGAACTCCGATGCCACCCCTAGAAAAAAAAGACATCACCAGAAACTATTTGCACAAAATTTCAAAACCATGTCGTCTTCTCAGGAAAACTAATAAACTGTTGGGCAAGTTTTTATATTTCCCAGAAACTGAGTCTCAGGGACATGCCTATCTTCCCAGCTAATAAGGGAAGATGGGACTGGGGAGGCTGGCACTGTGTTGAACAGATCAGAACTTGGGAAAAGGCCGGTGGCTGAGTTACTGCCCACTAAGGGAAGATGGGACTGGGGAGGCTGGCACTGTGTTGAACAGATCAGAACTTGGGAAAAGGCCGGTGGCTGAGTAACAGCCCACTAAGTCAGCTTCTAGGCCAGTGACCCTGGAATAGGTCTAATTAGTAGACTACAGTCACATACTTTCACCACAAATCTGGTGATTCTTTGGGCGTGAAGGCAGAGATCACAGACACACTAATCACTCCTTAGTAGAGTTTAGCCCAGCACCTGACTGTACCCTTAAAACTATGGTGCAGCTGGACTCTGGCCACTTTGTACTTTTGGCCTCCCTAGTGGGTGTTCATTTGTTGCCACCCACTTATAGCCACTGGCACTGCCTTGCTTGGGGCAGGAGAAGAGGACAGGCTAGCTAACCAGAGGCTCTTCTTAGGCTACTTGCCACTCAGTGCCTACAGAAGGCAGCATGCTCAATAAGCACTCACAGCCTGTGGAGTTGGAGGTCAGGTTCTTAGTGCTCACAGCATCCTTGGCTGCCCTTGCTTAGGTGAAGAATGAATGATCTGAATAGATGTCAGGCCATTTAATTTCATAAAAGCAGATCTCAAACCAGCACATATGAACACTCATAGAGGAGGAGGAGCTCAATTACCTTACCCTACCTCCTTACCCCCCTACCACCTCTTATGGTTGAGCTGGACTTAGTGACTTTTTCCCAATATCTAAAGGAAAGAAAAATCGTAAAGGTACAGTAGGAAGCCTGAAGGTACCACCTTAACCAAGTGATTTAACATCAATGGTGTCGTAGATGTCACACATACCCCAACAGGATGTAAAGAGTGCTTCACCTTATGGTATTCACCAAAACCTATATCCCCAACCAGTGCGTCACCATGAGACAAATGTCAGATAACTAAAATTGGAGGACATGCTACAGGATCCCCCTGGCCAGAACTCAAGTCAAGGTCATAGAAAACAAGGACTCAAAAACTCTCACAAATAAGTAGGTATTAAAGAGAGACAATGACTAAACAAAATGTGCAATCCTGGACTGCATCCTAGAACAGAAAGAGGACATTAATAGAAAAACTGACGAAATCCAAATGTCAAAATGTCAATTTCCTAGTTTTGACACACATACCACAGTTTTATAAGATGTTAGCCCTGGTGAAAGGTATATATGAGCTCATATCTTTGTCAATTTTTCTGTAAGTCTAAAATTATTCCAAGTTTTTAAATGTTTTTAACAAAAAATTGCAATAGATCCCAGGTCTTTGAGAATATGTATGATCAAAACCCTGTTATGAGGGGCAAAAAGGAGTATAGTCTTTTTTGTATTTTCTAATTTATCTCCAACCTGTATCACTTCTGTAAAAAGAAATTAAAGCTTTTTGGTTTTGCTTTTTCATGGTCTAGGGATAAAACCTAGGGTTTCACACAAGCTAAGCTAGTGTTCTACCACCGAGCTCCATTCCAGCCCTAAAGTTGTTTTTATTAAAATCAACTAGCCATGGGTATTCTCATCAATACCTGTCAGACCCAATCAGCCCAGTATCTATGTACTGGGTAGAAAGTCAGGGGGTCACAACAGGAGGCCTTGGCAACACTGTAACAAGGGGGCTCCCTTCCCTGAGGGTGCTGGATCTTTAGGTTGGGTGCACTAGGATTCACAGAGTAATTTTTTTCTTTTTTTTTGTGGGGGGGGCGGGGGGAGTTACACCAGGGATTGAACTTGGGAGCACTCAACTGCTGAGCCACATCCCCAGCCCTATTTTGTATTTTATTTAATGACAGGATCTCTAACTCCTCGCCATTGCTGAGGCTAGCTAGCTTTGAACTCACCATCCTCCTGCCTCATCCTCCTGAGCCACTGGGATTACAGGTGTGTGCCACCGCACCCAGCTCTCAAAGCAATTTCTTAGGAGCTCAATTAACTGATTCAGGTCTGATCCATCCCTAGGCAGGGCATTGCAGAGGAGGAAGTGGCTCCTGCTCATGGTGATCAAGATCTAATTATAGAAAACTGCAATGAGAAGATTTGAAAAATTTTTTCTTTCTGCCTAGGGTGGAGATTGTGGCCCTTGGAAATGAGGACCCAACCCAAGGAGGGGGAGGAAGGAGGGTTCAGGCTCTCCCCTGGCCAGAAGACAGGTATACTTCTATTTTAAGAAAGGCTTTATATGAAAATTGCAGATTACCAAATAGGTAATTCATCCTAGGATCCCAGAACAAGGGACTTTTTCTCACTGTAGGAATAGCCTTGGGCCCAGCAGGTTGAAGCATGAGCCTCTGACATGCCAGTCTCCAGATTAGCACTTGGGCTCCTCCTATCCCTATTGACATCCACTCCTGCCACTGCATCCCTGGTTCTCTGATGTGCTCCAAGGAGACCTTCCTACATTTGTCATCCACATCAATATTATGGGCAGATGTGTGCTCAACTTCTCAGAACAGATGTGGGGAGTTCTTCAGGAATTTAACTGGAGCAGAGACAGATGCCTAGAACATATAATTTAATAAAAATTCCTTAGGTTTTCAGGGAGCTGGGACCAAAGCATTCTCAGGGAGATATGATAGTTGACCTTGATCATGTCTGAGAAACTTTTAAATGTATTACATTACTGGCTTCCCTCCCCGCAGTTCATCTTGGCAAGCCAAACAATCACTGAATTGTTTCCTTGGAAACACCAAACTGTAATTTGTATTACCAGAATCAAAATAGAAGCAAGGCAGATTGAAGAATAAATAGGAGCTTTGGAACCTGCAAACTGCAAGTTTAAATTACAGCACAAAGCATATGAGAATCTGGGCCCATGTAAGTCTATGAAGATCCCATGGCCACATCCCACCAATATGTCAAAGTCACTATAAACCAACTTTATTATAAGCAGATTGATAAAATTCGTAAATAAGTAAATACTTAAGGTAGGAGTTTGTAGAGGCTCCTAGAAAGGAAAAGCTGAAGGGCTGGAGGGGAAGGCTGAGGAAGAAATGACACAACAAGGAAAGAGGACAAGGAACAAGGACAGGAATAAGACAAGAATGAAGTCCAGTAGGGGCAGAGAGAGAGACAGTTGAGAGCTGGAAACTATAACCTCGACCTCAGCCTATCCAAATGTCACATGGATCTGTTCTAGACTCAGAACTCTTTCCAGGTAAGCACCAGGACACCATGCCTTTTTCTGTATGCTAGAGAGACAACACCACTGGGCACTGGAACCTATATTCTCATCTCCGAGTCTCAGGATTCCTCTTGCTCTGCCTCCTGCTCCCCTCAGTTGGAGAATGGCCAACCTGCCCTGGCTTGGTGGCATTCTCCTGGACCCTTTCAATCCCAGAGAAGATTCCAAAGGGGTCAGGAGAGCAGACAGTATGGGGGCCTATCCTTTATCTTTGTACCCTGGAATAAACCAATAGAACAGCAACACCATCCTGCTGCCAGTGGACTTGTGAGCCGCTAACATTCCAGAAAGACTTGATGAAGAGGATTTGCAAAAGGGGCCTAACTCAGGTCAATCTCACCTGAAATGGCTAGGCACCTGTCTGTTGTCAGAATGATACTGCTCTGAGTTATAAGATGCTTAATATGGTAGCAAAAAACAATGCAAAGAAGGGGATGCTTGGGAAGCCAGTGCACCTGATCATAGATAATTATTGAAAAGGCTGTGTTGTGTCATCCTGAGACCATTTTAGGTTCTGGCAGTTTGCTTTCTCCTTGGAATTGGTGGGAGAACATTAATATTTAGGTTCTAGCTAAATATTTACAGAAGGAACAAAATTTTACTCAGGAAATCTGACAATGGATCCCAACCCTAGTGTGGAAGGACTCTGTCCTAGGCTGTCTGGAAAATGCCTGATTTGATCAAGAATTTTGGCCTAAGGCCTGGTATAAAGAAATTTCAAAACTACCCAAACTTTGTAGGACTCGGTTCACTAATATTTTTGAGGGCAGGGAAGCCATTGTGTTCTGGATATTTGGGTGAGAGAAGTTATTAGGAGAGAGAAATGGACATCTTGCAGAAGACCCCTCATCAGGAGCCCTTTGGAAGCTTCCAGAGGCAAACAAGAAACGCTGGGCGTGGTGGTGCATGCCTGTAATCCCAGCAACTAGGGAGGCTGAGGCAGAGGATCATGAGTTCAAACAGCCTCAGAAATTTAGCAAGGCCCTAAGCAATTCAATAAGAGCTGGGGATGTGGGTCAATGGTCAAGTGCCCTGGCACCAAAAACAGACAAAAACACAGAAAAGGGGAACTGTAAACAAATGCTATAGAAAGGCTGCACTTTTCAAGGAACTGTTTGCATAAGTACTTATTAAGTGTGTACTAGTGTCAGGCACTCTCCTGAATACTGGGGACACAGCAGGGACAGGGAAGATACTGCTCTTGCTTTTGGAGTTAATATTCTTGTGCAAGGCAAATGAAACACAAATACACAAATTAACACATAAATTTCAGATGGCACGCTGAGACAAAACAGTGTAATGGGAGGTGAGTAGGGAGGTCATGAACAGCTTTTCTGTGGATGACATTTAAATTGATCCTGGAATGTCAATCAGGTGCTGCAGTTAGCTGTAACAGAGGGAGGAGCCTGTGGGAGGCTCTCAGGCTCTGGCCCATAGACCGCCCACCTACCACCTCTACCTATGTAGCTAGAAACATATGAAGAGCCAAAAACGATGCATGCTCCAGGGACATGCCTGGGCTGTGTCACGCTCACCAAGTCTGGCAGGAATCACAGAAGTTAATTAAGAAGAAAAAAAGGCCTTTGGAATAAAATTAAGAAACAGAATATCCTTTCCTGATGATCAGCAAAGACAAACAGTGTAATTTTAATTAACCTAGCTTTGTTAGGATATAAGTTTATTGCTCATCCTACAAAAACACCTAACTTGTGGAACACTGAATCACTCCGAACTTTGACTTCATTACACCAAGTGAAATACTTCTGAAGAAATACAGAGTATCATAACTCATAGCAGAATCAAAGAACAGAGTATCCTTCTTTGGCATTTTCAAGTTAGACCCTTCAAGAAGGCCACTGTTTCTGGGCATGGTGACAGAGGCCTGTAATCCCAGCTACTGCAGAGACTAAGGCAGGATTGCAAATTTGAAGGCCAGTTTTGGCAATTTAGCAAGACAGTCTCAAAAAATACGAAAGGCTGGGGATGTAGCTCAGTAGTAGAGAACACCTGGGTCCAATTTTGCAGTACTGGGTGGGGGCAGAAGGACCACAGTCAAAAATACTGATGGTGTTCTCTCATTAGGGTCTCAACTTTGAATTAAAATGACTATATAAAACTGTTCAATTTAGAGTATAGGGCCCTCTTAACACTTAATAGGCACCTGTAGTCACTCTGGAAATTGATGAAACTTGGTGTGGCTGGACTTCTTCCTCCCATACTTTCTTTGCACTAGCAATGAAAATCATCAGGGGAGGCAATGGAATCCACAGAGGGCAGGTGAGCAGACAGCCAGTGTAGCCCACAGGAAGAAGATGCCAGGGCAGCTTGAGGCAGAACCCATATCTGAACTTCTTGGCCTCAGAAAATTACTGTGATTGACCATGGGTCCCAGTACAGACCACAGGAGGCCCATGGTCTGAAAATGAGAGTGAGAACAGCTTAGGCTGGTGTCTGACACCCATGCCAAGGGTGTCTGTCACAGGCAAATTCAACTCCTCCAAATTTTTATGGGACACACCTCCCTGAAAATAAAGAATAAAAAATCAAGAATGACTGCTTTCTGAAACAGTCTTTTGGCAACTCAGTCTGCAACCCAGTGGCCCCGGTGTCACTGAGTTAGGGTTAGGGTTAGGGTTTAAGGTTAGTGTCATTTACACTGGGGCCACTGAGTTGTATTGGAAATGGACAAATCCTGAAATTTTTCATCCCATGAGGATTTTCACTTTCTTAGAAAATAGGATAAAAAATCAGTTTGAATGGGGTGTTGTTTATTCAAATCATCTATGAGAGCCTTAGAAAATAAAAATATGGTATCTTGTCAATTTGTTTTCTTAAACTTTAGAAAAAATTGAACTGAGGGGTCAGTTCAATAAACTTAATGAAAAAAACACATACTTTTTAAAGGTTTTATATTTTTTATTACAAAAGAAACACGGAAGAAAATCTCATGTATGTGGCTTAGAACTATAGTGCTCTGAACAGTAGTTTTGTGCATATTACCTCTCTTTCGTTGGCAGCCTTAATACTGTTCAGCAGAAGACTGACTTAGTGTGTCCTGTATAATATGCCCACTGGTTAAACAATGAAAATTCTAATATAACTAGATCAAGATAGAAAAAAATCCCAAGGTCTGGAAAGGTACTGATCATGTGCAGGAAATATTTTGAAGATGATAAATATGATGTTTGGGAGTCATGTTGCCACAGTACCAGTTTCATGAGAGCCCCTCTGCTACACAATATTCAAGGAAGCTCTCCCCACTTTCACCAAGTACCTTCTCTCCCAATGCCCCCACCACCAGGCCGTTATTTCATATTTATCACCACTGGAGATCACTGTCTCCAAATTTCTTTCCAATAATTAAGGATGCATTTGTCTGTTATGCCCTTGTCATAGGCAACATCTGATACCCAGAGAGTTGATCCTACCCCTGCCTCCCACTGAGCCCTTCCTAGCAAGGCCTCTCACCCTATCAACCAGTCAAGAATTCTCTAATTTGTCTTTCTACCTGAGCTCAATAAACCAACTGAAGTCACTGTTGGATGGTCAGAAGTCATCATCACTGCTATCAAAACCCAGGTCATAGAGCAAATTCTTCCCTGTCTCCTTGCATGGAGGAGACTCTGAATTTCCAAGGTTGAGGTCACTGAACCAGCGCATTTGGTGGTCCCCCTGGGAGCTACTGGAATGCAGATCTTTGTTTTGGGAAGAACATTCAGGAAACTTTGAGAGGCTCCCTTGCACTGCTGGTGCTATTTTACTGGACTTGACAGTTCCTCCCAGAACATGGCAGACTGATTTTGTGGAGCTTCTGGGACCCCGCAGATGCAGAGGCTGAGCAAGGGGTTCCTGCTGCTCCGTAGGGGGAATTCGTTCATCAGAAACTGGAGACTGGGGATTCTGATATTTATAATTGAAAATACAGGTCTTACTTGGGGTTTGTTCTCTCTTCCTTGCAAACCTGCCTCTCTGGGTTTTCCTGGTCGGCTGCCTTTTGCATTTCCTCCCTCTTTCTACAGTCCTGCCTTTCTGTTCAGTTTCCAACTGTTCACTAGGGACACAAGAGAATATGCTTTTTGCTTGATATTCTGGGCAGAGATTCTTAATGCTCATTGCAAAGTTGTGTAAATCCAGGGATATGAGCTGTGAAGTTCCTTGGTAAAGCAGGTCACTGTCACCAAGAACTTTATGGCCTGGGATTCTGGAGCCATGGTTCTTGGAATCTGCTTTAGTAATTGCCCAATTTTTGCAATTAGTCTGTACTGACTTGTCCTTTACATGCTCATTTCCTTTACAAGGCCAAAGGGCTGGCAGTGCAACCTCTTTCTGGAGAGCATCACCCTTTGCTCCCTTACCCATGATACCAAATTCCCTAGTCACTAGGGAGCCTGTACTTGGGTTTCCTGCAGCAGTGTGAGCCTGGGACTGCCACATAACCAGCTCCTCAGAGGCATATTTTTCCTGCCTGGTGAAATTGAGGCTCTGGGTCAGACTTGGTGAAGTCTGAGAAGTGTTGTCTTTCACATGCTCAGGTATCTGAGGCACCAAGATCAATCTCTTCAGTTCTGCTAGGACACTGGGCACATTCAGCTTGTGTAGCTGTTCACACAGTTGCTGGAAGTCTTTACTCTGCTGGGCAACTAAAACTTCCAGGTTCTCCAGGTTGGATTTCATTTCTATAAACTCTGCTTGTCTCTGGGGAAAAGCAGTGAGAAAAAGAGAGTGATGGAATATAAGTCAGAGTGCACAATAAAATGTGAGAACAAACCACTGGACAAAGTCATGTCCCTTTCAGGGTACCTCACAGGGTAAGGATAACTATACTCTGGAGCAGGGTCCTGGGCCCTACATCCTACCAAGGAACCCTGGGGAAGGAAAATAGCCTATACCCAAGTTCTTTTCTAAAAGGCTTGTGCAGACCTCTGGTCTTTGCTGAAATTTCACAACTTTTTTTTTAAAGTTTTTAGTTGTAGCCACATCCCCAGCCCTATTTTGTATTTTACATAAAAACAAATAAATAAAATACCTTTATTTTATTTGTTTTTATGTGGTGCTGAGGATTGAACCCAGAGCCTTGCATGTGCTAGGTGAGTACTCTACTGCTGAGCCACAACCCCAGCCCAAAATTTCACAACTTTAAAGGTAATTCTCCGAGTCTTAGTGAAAAGGTTGGGGTTTATACTTACAGTTTCAAATTTCTTCTGTATCTCAAGAATAGCTTGCTCCACATTGCTTTTCTCTTGCACTGCCTCAAATATCAGGTCACTCTGGGACCGTGCAGTATCTTGCACTAAATACAAAAAAATGACAGTTCACCACATGACAACTGTGGTATACACCTCCTGCCCACACTGACATGGACTATTGAACCTTCTCTTCTAGCACTCAGGAGACTCTGTTCTAGAACAGAGTGCTTTCTTCACAGCCTCTATTTCCCTCCTTCCCTGAGAAGATTCTAGCCTGGATTGGCATCTACAGAGGACCCTGAGAATCTGATGCCCTTGGGCCCTGTCATGAGAGTGGGGTTTTTTTGTTTGTTTGTTTGTTTTGTGGTGCTGGGGATAGAACTCAGAGCACTTGCTCTATCACTGAACTACACCCCCAGCCCAAGAATGATGTTTATAGAATAAACATATTATCCTGCCCCCTCTGACATTGGTTCAATTGCATTCATTCTACTGGCCACTGAACAAAATCCAAATTTTTCTTTATTTTTTTATGGTACTAAGGATTGAACCCATGGATGCTCTACAACATAACTGCCCCCCCCCGCCTTTTTTAAAGAGAAGAACTTTTTTTTTTTTAACTTGTAGATGGACACAATACCTTTATTTTATTTTTTATGTGGTGCTAAGGATCAAACCCAGTGCCTCACACAGGCCAGGCAAATGTTCTACCACTAAGCTACAATCCCAGACCCATAACTGCCCTTTTTATTTTGAGATAGGTTCTAAGTTGCTGAGGCTGGCCTGAAACTTGTGATCCTTCTGCCTCAGCCTCCCAAGTTACTGGGATTATAGGCACGTGCCACAATGCTTGGCAGTTCAGATCTTTAAACTGGCTAACAAGGGCTTACTTCTCCTTCCCCATTTCTTATCTTTGGCTTTCCCTCAGCTTGGAGTATTCCTACTTGTATCTCTGTCACTTCCCTCTTCCCTACAACTACCACCTTAGTCCAACTAATTCCTTTTCTGGTAATAGGCAGACTAGTCAAATTTAGGGATGAAATAAAGACTTCCCTAAGGTATTTCTATTTTACCTAAAGTATTAAATCATGGAGGAAAGAATGGCACCAACAGTAAAAAAGAGCATGTTCCAAAAGAATTACCATGAATTCAGCATGACTAAAGCATGGTGAGCATGGGACCAAGTAGCCTGAGTGGAGGCAGGCCACAGCTGGACAGAAGGGTATTTGTGCCATGTCAAGATTTGTGGACTTGATTCTAAGACTGATACCCTGATACAGTTAAGCAAAGAATTGGCATGATTGAATTGTCTCTCTCTCTTTTCGGTACTGGGGATTGAGCTCAGGAGCATTTGACCTCTGAGCCACATCCCAGCCCTATTTTGTATTTTACTTAGAGACATAAAATACACTTAGCACCTCGCTGTTGCTGAGATTGGCTTTGAACTCTCCTGAGCCACTGGGATTACCAGCTTGTGCCACAGCACCAGCTTGCGTTTGCTCTTTAAAAGGAGAACTGTTTCAGTGATTTGAATGATAAACTGCAGGGTGAAAGTGCAGAACAGAGATCAGAAATTACTTAAATAAAACCACAATCATGTTAAGAATATTAAAGTGAGATATAGCTCTGTTGGTAGAGTGCTTGCCTCACATGCAGAGTACTTGCCTAACATTGTCAGCAACACACACACACACACAAAGAGGGAGAGAGAGAAAGAAAGAATATTAAAGCATAGAGCTTTATATTTATATCATAGGAATATGATTGAGTTTAGAAACAATCAGAAGTTTTCCACCCCACCCTGCATCCTGGGACACTTAACTGAGTCACACTTGCAGCCCTTTTTTATTTTTTATTTTGAGACAGGATCTTGTTAAGTTGCTGAGGCTGGCATTGAACCTGCAATACTCCTGCTTAAGCCTCCCGAGCTGCTGAGATTATAGGTATGAGCCACTGCAACTGGCCAGATGTTCTTTTTAATCTTATTCAGGCACATTTCAAACTCTATCAGAAGAGAATAAAGAATTGTAATGGCTATTTCAAAACCCTTCTTTTAGATTTTTCTACTTTGGTAAACACACTGCAAATATTTTCAGTTCACATACATCTAAATGCGTACTAAGTACAATTTATAAATAACCAGGAATAGTACATAATATATTCTTTTTTTGTCTGCTCATAACTATCTAAAATGTTTCAAGATTCTTAACAAAATTTTTTCATTTTATATGACTAAAAAACAATTTGGCAACATGAGAGTTCTTTAACTCTTCCCAATAAATGGAAGTACTCAGAAGTACATAAATCCTGTTTTCTTTCTTTCTTTGTTTCAGTGCTGGGGATAGAACCCAGGGCCCAGTGCCTGTGTAGGGTAGTTCTCTACCACTAAGTTACACTCCCAGTGCTAGGCCCTGGGTTTTTTTTTTTTTTTTAAGAGAGAGAGAGAGAGAATTTTTTTTTTAAAGAGAGAGTGAGAGACAGAGAGAGAGAGAGAGAGGGAGAGAGAGATAATTTTTTAATGTTTATTTTTATTTTTTTAGTTTTCAGTGGACACAACATCTTTGTTTTTTTTTTGTATGTGGTGCTAAGGATCGAACCCGGGCCGCATGCATGCCAGGCGAGTGCGCTACCGCTTGAGCCACATCCCCAGCCCCGAGAGAGAATATTTTAATATTTATTTTTTAGTTTTCGGCGGACACAACATCTTTATTTGTATGTGGTGCTGAGGATCGAACCCAGTGCCGCGCACATGCCAGGCAAGCGCACTACCGCTTGAGCCACATCCCCAGCCCATAGGCCCTGGGTTTTAACTACAATTTTATTTTGTGTGTGTGTGTGTGTGTGTTTTACTGGGGATTCCTCTATCACTGAGCTACATTCTCATCCCATTTTTTATTTTGAGACAGGTTCTCACTCAGTTGCTGAGGCTGGCCTCAACTCGTGATCCTCCTGTCTCAGCCTCATGAGCCATAGGGGTTACAGACATGTGTCACCATGCTCAGCTCTAACTACAGTATTCATCTATCTCTTGTCTCTTTATATCACTTACAGGAAAGGGCAGGGATTTACCAAACAGTACCTAAATAAAAGTTTGTTTGTTTGTATGATACTGGGATTGAATCCAGAGCCATTTACCACTACATTACCCTTACCATTACTCACTACATTGCTAGGGCTGGCTTCAAACTGGCAATCCTCCTGCCTTCACCTCCTGAGTAACTGCGATTATAGGTGTGAGATATTAAATAATGTACTATTTTTATCTTGCCATGCTGGAGATTTAATCCAGGTCCTTGTGTATGCTATACAACTATTTTACCACTGAGCTCTATCCCCAGTAACTAAATAAAAAAAATCTTTGAAGTTCTAGTGACTTACTTCAGAGTTTCTCGTTGAAATAAAACATAATTCCCATCATAAAAGTAGGTTTACATTTCAGTTGTTTCATATTGGCATAAATTCTAGTTAGATTAATAATCTTAGTATCATTAAGTAAACTACCAAAAGGCAACAAGGGAAGTTGTGTATAACCCTGTAATAGGAAAGGCCTTTCTAACAAAGACATAAAACCCAAAGCCAAGAAAAAAAAATGAGTTTTGTGTCATTGTTAAGTTTATTCCTAGATACTATTTTCTGTAATGGTTTTAAAATGGAATTTCCCCACATTATACTTTCTATTAATTTCTTCCACTTTACTGAATTATCTTATGGTATATGGCACTGTTTTGGTTAATTACCAGAATAACAAGGAAAGATTAAAAAAAGAATCAGACATTTCAACAACGAGTCCAGACTTTGATGACAATGAGCAATGTCTTAGAATTCTGAGGTTGAGGCAAGAGGATTGAAAGTTTGAGACCAGCCTAAGCAATTTAGAAACATCCTATCTCAAAATTTAAGAAGTGCTAGAGATGTAGCTCAGTGCTAGAGTGTTTGCCTAGCATGTATGAGGTTCTTGATTCAATTCCCAGTGGCACAGTAAAATAAAAATAATAAAATATAAAATTAAAAAGTAAAATAAAATGGGCTAGCAAAGTGTGGTGACACATGCCTGTAATCCCAGTGACTCAGGAGGCTGAGGCAGGAGGATTATAAACTCAAGGCCAGGCTCAGCAATTTAGAGAGGCCATAAGCAGCTTAGCAATACCCTGTCTCAAAATAAAAGGGCTGGGGATGTGGCTCAGTGGTTAAGCACACCTGGTTCTTCAATCCCTAGTATCAGAAAAAAAAGGGGGGGGGAGGGGGGGTTGGCTAGGGATGAAACTCAGTGGTAGAGTGCTTTTCTAGAATCTAGTATATGTGAGGCCCTGCCTGGCTCAATCCCAGTACCATAAATAATAACAATATCCAAATAAACACAAGGAATTCAAATAGTAATAGAAGACATTTCAAACATGCAAGGTATCACGTGTACCTTTTCTCGAAATGCTGCTGGGAGATGTGCATCATCAAAGCACAATACCCAGAAAAAAAAAGTGAAAGTGAAAAAGAAAAATGCAGTACACAGTAGTGCACACCTATAATCTCATCTACTCGGGAAGCTGAGGCAGGAGGATCATAAATTCAAAGCCAGCATGGGCAACTTATCAAGACCCTGTCTCAAAATAAAATAAAAAAGGACTCACTCATTCTTAAGATTATAGCAATGAGAGGCTGGGGTTGTAGCTCAGTGGTAGAGCGCTCGTCTAGCACATGCAAGGCCCTGGGTTTGATCCTCGGATCACATAAAAATAAATAAATAGAATGAAGGCATTGTGTCCAACTACATCTAAAAAATAAATATTAAAAAAAAAAAAGACTACAGCAGTGAGCCAGGCGTGGTGGTGCACACCTATAATCCCAGTGGCTCTGAAGGCAGTGAGACACTGTCTCTAAATAAAATACAAAATAGGGCTGGGAATGTGGCTCAGTGGTTGAGTGCCCCCTGAGTTTAATCCCTAGTAAATTCCCCCACCCCCACCCCCCCCAAAAAAAAGATTACAGCAATAGCTTGAAGGGGGGATTGTTGATGCCTGGGACCAACATTTTGGAAGTATATTATGAACACGTTTTTGTTAAAAATCTTAAAAGTGCATGAAGAAGTAAACAAATGAAGAATAAAAAA